GGGTTTCCCCATTCATTAGCATCATGGCGCGGCGCTGGGGTTTTCAGTTTCTTAGGTTGGGAAAATGAGGGAGAGTTAATGGATTTGGGCGTTCTTTTCTTTGTTTGAGATATATGCATCGCGAGGGCTGGATGAGGCGTTGTTTTCTCCTGGATAGCTTTTGAACTCCCTTTTTTTCGTCTTGTAGTAGAGCTTTTCTCTCTCTTTTCTAATGATCACATGATTAAACACGTATGGGTTAGGTAGTTTTAGATGTGAAGACTTTTAATTATCCCATTTGTCCTTGGTAAACGTGTTGTTGTCAATGAGACGCATGCGCACATGATAAACGTACCGACGAACTAATGTAAAGCACGATACCACAAATGATCGCGTCACAAGATTGGGGGAAAGAAAATGAACTTTGTCAAAAAGTTTATGAAAAAAGTAGTGATGAAGTGTGTTCCAGACCCAATAGTCTTGAACAAAGTACAACGATACACAAGTCTGCACACCTGGAGCGAAAGATTGGCATCTTGAGCCTTGGAAATCAGTTACAGCAGTATCGGCGTCCGTGGCACCTGAGGATTCGTATTCTGAACTATGTGAATCTGGAACATTGGATATTACATTACAGTCCCGACTCTCTCACTAGCATGCGCGTTGAATTCAACGTTTGGGGAAAAAAAGGCATGTGAAACAACAAATTCTTATCGACGACGGTCGCGGTCACGATCGTCCCGTCGATAGCGATCGCGGCTCCTGTCACGACGGCTGTCACGCCGGCGGTCGGGACTACGGCTTCGCTCTCGTCTCCGGTCGTGATATCTACCATCGTCGCCATCTCTACGGTCACGTTTAGGGCTGCGGCTGCGGTTGCGCTTGAAACGATCATCGTGGTATTCTGTTCTTCGTTCGCGCCTTCGTGTATCGTCTCTCCGCACGTCTCTGCTGGTATCACGCGTCCGCGGTGCTGCGTCTTTGGATGGATCCGAATCAGCAACCAAGTTATTGACAACTGAGTCAGACATGATTTGGCGACCGGGGCCGTCGCGGTACTGCCTCTTCCTCTCGAGATTGTCGATACCGCCAAATCCACCCGCAGCTCGTCTCCTCATCTTGTTTGTTACGTCTCGCCAATCATCTGCAATTTTTGAGACTGATTGTGAAAAGTCGACATGTATGCGGTGATCGTCGATCAAGACGCCGTCCATCTTGAAATAGGCCTGTTCGCAGTCTTTCTGATTGGCATATTCGATAAAGGCGTACTGCAGGCTGTCACCTGTGCGCTTATCTCTAATGACCTCGCAACTGAGAATCTTGCCGAATCGCGAAAAGATGAGTTCTAGATCCTCGTCTTGCGTCACAGGATTCAACTTGCACACAAACAGCACGTTTTCAGGCGGTGCAACTTCGGCAAATGGCAGATCGCCAACCATCTCCAGCGTGAGAGCTTGCGCGCGCGCCTCACGTTCTCGACGGATCTTTTCAAGCGCTTCCGGATCGTTTTCCTCTTCGAGATTCTCATCGTAGGCGACACGAACTGTAGCGAGTTGCGCTGCTGAGGGTGCGGGGCTCTCGGGTGGCTCAACGAGGCCGGCGGGGTCATCGTATGGATCATCAAGGACGACGGTATGCAATATGCGAATGTCTTTGAGTGGCTGGCCCTGGTCGTCGACGTATGCTGTGTTGATCTTTTCCAACGTATCAAATCCCTCGACGACTGTCCCAAAAATGGCAGCCTTGCCATTGAGATAGTCAATATTTGGCCCCAGTGTCACAATAAATTGGCTACCAGCAAATCGCTCGTCGGGGTCGTCCGGGTTTGGTGCTGTTGCCATACTGACTGTGCCCATCTCTGTGTGCTTGAGCTTTGGGTTGAAGTCTGGAACAAACGTCTTCTTTGCGGGTTGCGAGGGGTCGAGCAGGCCCCATATCGAGCGACCGCCATCGCTGTCTTTGGCACCAGGGCCGATGGGGTCGCCGGTTTGGAAAGAGAAGTTTGGCTGGACGCTATGCACGGGCGCAAAGTTGTAATACTTTACTTTGCATAGCTTGAGGAAGCTAAGGCGACAAGCTGTCAGTATCTGTTGTGTGTGCTCAGCTTGGGAAGACAGCGGGATAGAGCATGCAGGATGCAGGTCAAAGAACGCGAGGCACGTGTGGGGATTGGATAGACTTACTTTTCACAACATCTCGGTGCATCGTCCACCAACAAGTCGATGGTGATATCCCCCAGTGATGTTTCTAGAAGCACAGACATGGCTTGGGTTATGTTGTGCGGAGAGCCAGTGTTTGTCGCAAAAGTGGGAGTTGAACGCGACAGATTCGGGATTGCGACAGCGTGACTGCTTAGTCACTATGACGTATTGCCCAAAGGGGCCTAGCTCCAGGTACAGAGGTTTTGTTTTCTCTACCTGAACCTTGCACACTTTCAACTTCATCCTGGTGCGGCAATGCGCTCCAGAACGCCTCATATGCTTTGGTGTATCTTGGATGATCTGTTCATAATGTTATTCCAGACTCTCTCGAAGAGCGAGTTTAGATGCAGCCGTAACACGCAGCCACTACCAGACTGACAGATCGATTTTGGTATCGGGAGTGCGATGTACCATATTACTGCTATCAGGGGGACAGTCTAAAAGCATTAAGATATTTCAGGAAGAGCGTGGGGTTGTTGTGAGAGGCAGCCCGTTGAGTGTCACCCGCCTTCTAATTGTTGTGCTCAACAATCCTGGTCTAGCTATAGGCAAGCCGCTAGGTTGCATACTACTATGCACATCGACCCGAATTCCCCGGATCCGTCATATCAGTGGAGTCTGTTAGACGAGAATCACCATGGTTTATCGACAATCGATCACTTGCTGCGCGTCATCACTTCCCGGTAGCCGTTGGATCCTGAATGTGGGTATCCATGTACCTCTCTTTTCGCCCTCTAACTAATTGAAGCTTCGTAATGCAGACTGCCCCAACAATATTTTTCTTCTTTCGAAAACTGCTACATACTCAACATATCTCATAGATTCCTCGCCTATAGTGACCATGTCTTGCCAATAACATAGACATGATTCCAAGCCTATGCGTGAGACACAATAATGGACGACTCTAAACGCAGTAACACTATGCCCGCAAGGATGGAGCATCGTCACGTCACATCACTTAACTGGCCTCTATAACTGCTTCATCCGGAAATATGCAGCAATGGGAGACCCACGAGTCTTGTAATCTTTTCGTCATTTTACGGCCGTGACACTAGGAAAAATCGAGTAGACAGCCCAAGTTACCACGGTCGTGCAGCAGGGGTTCAAAGGCCAGAGAGAATCCAAATCAGCAAATCTCCAACGTTTTCGATCGATGAGTGATCGTCTCACCGCGAAATCTTGCCTCTAAACATGGCGTATCAAAGTTTGCTCGCTTCTTGGCACATAAATCTATCAGTTTATTGGTTCGTCGCTCAGAGAGACCATACAATCGACGCGCTCGTCTTTTCAGCACCAGCATGGTATCTCTTGGTCAATGTCTTGTCATCATGCGCTCTCTTCTGATCGGCGACACAGCACTCTACATCGATTCAGCTTAGGCCAAGTCCACAGCACCGCTGTGTTCTGCATTAAACATGTACCACGCCAGAGACGCATCTGTAATTTTACCCAGATACGCTTTGCTATATTGATCATGCAGCTAGGGTTGTTCACTAAGAGTGATTGTATCAGTTATCGCCATCTGAATCAGGCATAGAATCCGCCGGAAGTTTCCTGCCGGCCTTCCCCGTATATCCGTCCAGCCTTAAGTTCTCAGACGCAGTGCCGGTATTTTGCATGATTAGGTTGAATCGCAAAGTTATGGTTACGACTCTGGTGATCATCAAAGAAGGTCGTTGGGTGAGAACGGAGCAAATGTGGAAGGCAAATTATACATCAGTGTAGCTTTTGCTCCAATCCTGGCGGCAAATCGGCCTTACTGAGACATTCCGATGAAGAGGCCTTGTTTGCCATAATAATATTGACCTTTTCTTGAATAGTCGAGTTTGGGTGTTTTATCCGACCCTTGAGAACTAGTGAAGTCAGCACCGTCATGTATCTATTCTGGCAATTCAACATCCCTGTGGAATTAGCCCCGTCATTCTTTTTAGTATCTATTCCCTTCCAAGCCGCAATGAAGTTTGTGGGCTTTCATTAGACGAGTATTATGTGGAGGTGGCCTCAAATCCTTGCTATATGTCCCGCTTCCGCGGTGGTACTATGCAGCCTACGAACAATCGACAGCCCTTTCGAGATACTACGCAGTTGCTAGCGTACACAGATGGTTGTTGGCATCATTGAGGTTCTGATTGACGCTTCGCAGTTGTCTTCATATAATGCTCCTGGACAGAGGCTATCCGACTATATTCCCTTTGGTTGAAATATTTCGTCGAACCTAAGGCTTGTGGACAACCTGCAATCCAGCGTACGTTGTTTCACCTATTTTCATTCTCCGCGGAGCTTTGACACTGCTCTTTTTGAGATGCGTGCTTCATAATCCCTGTTCACAGAGCGGTGGTCACTACGCATGCAGGTTCCCGCAAAGCTGTCATCTTGTTGTAGACATCGACAAGCAATCCAACAGATTAGGAAACTCGATTGTCGCTGAAATATCAAACCCCATCTTTGAAAAAGACTCATTCGCACTACTCCTGCCACGTCGATTCTGCTACATGTCTAGCCACGCGGTTGACCCTACATTCCTGTTTCGCTGAGACTGAATCTAATGCTCTTCTAAGCTATAAAAAATCGCCCCTCTAGTCGTTTGTTGTATGACCCACTCACCGGTTGTCTCTCCTCTGCCGTTGAGCAACGTTCATGTTCTGGACATTAACAGTTCAGCCGATCCGCTCTGATCTAGCCACTACCCATAGTCTATTCTGAACCAGCCCTAAGATACCTCTACAAGGAACAAACGTGTCAACTTCCTTCTTTTGTAAGTTGAGAAGCTTATTTCTGTCAACACCGATTCCGCTAATCCTATCAGTCAGACCCATGTCCATGTCATTCATGGAGTACGAAGGCCAGCGTCCTTGCCTATCGCACAACGTTTCATATCAGAACTATATCTACGACAACCGCCATGCTCCGTTAACACTTGGTCACAATACACGAGAGAATCCTCGCAGCTACCCTGTTGGTGGCCCCGTTGGTGGCATGCACACACGAGCCATGCTGGGTGGAGAGGACCATATGGTAGATTCTGGCCCCGTAAGACGTCGCATTGCAGTAGCGGTAAGTCAAGTACTGATACAGGGCATTCTTATCTGGTCCGTATGCGACTGGAATAAGCTGTCACATCTCTTCGTATGAAACATTCCGGGATATCGGACTGCTGATATTGAGTACAGTGTGCACGTTGCCGCAAGAGAAAGATTCGGTGCAGCGGTGACCCAGGTAACGGGTCCGGTTGTCTCAACTGCCGGGCTGCTGGAGTCGAGTCAATAAACTGCCAGTTTCATCGGGTGAGTAGGCCTTGAAATTCCATGACTTCGCGCTAATAATTACAGGTGGGGTCTGATGTCGTCCACAAAGTCATGGACAATATCAACATGGCCCACAACTTGAGCAACATGGCGGGTGCACAACAAATGATGCCTGTGTATCAGACAGGAGGTAACAACTCAATTTATCAGCGCGGGATACCCATTCAATGCTCGCAATACCCAGCTTGGACTGTTCCGTTTCCCGAAGATGCCTCCCGTGTGGAGGCATTTAACCTGGAACAGCCACCAGGATACGTACCAAACACGGCACCGATGGCAAATACAAACATTTACGGATCCTTGTATCGAGGAAATGATCCAAGGGCGAGATCGCTGGGGGGTGCATGCTTCGATCCAGAATCATTCAACAGTCTGCCTTGTGCCAATTCGAATGGCCGGGTAACTCCACCCGACATTTCTCCCCTGAACGCCGGCATGTCGTCTCTTCAATTGTCTCTGCCCGAGAGATCTCTTCCCCGACAAACACGCCCATCAGAGCCCAGCGTCCCTCGGAGGCATCTACCAATGCCACAACCCAATCCAGTTCAATCCAATCGTAACGCTGTAGACAAAGCACAAGACGAGCGTCTCCGATCTGCTCGGGTAAGCGATGCATCCGCCATTGATAACAGAGGATCCTTTGCAAGGCCGCCAATGTCTTGGGTAGTTGAGGGAGGCAGCCAAGCAAATGCACCAGTGGCGTCTCCGACGAACGATGCGAAACAAGTCATTTCTCAACCCAGACTGCATGATAGCACAGAAAACCCAATCAGCTACTATACCACCACTGGAGATATAGCCACAACAAGCACGGGTTCTCAGCTTGACTTGACCTTTAGCACCTCGGGTCTTCTCGATGGAATGAGCGCATCTGCACAAGCCACCGCGTACTCTTGTGTCCGTGGAACTCACCAGATTGCACCGGGAGATCAATCAAATATTCACAGCTTTGAAAGCAAACACTCGGCGAAACGGAACTTCACAGTTAGTGATTTATCGAGCAACCACCCGTTGGACACCAGTCATCGCTATACTCCGTTGAATCACTCTCCACCTCAAAACTCACCTGGCAGCCGCAAACCCCATCGCGAAGCATGTCATGGCCGAAGCACACGGTTACAACGCACTTCTGTGGGTAGCTTGAATGCTACATACTAACAGCGCCTCATCTTTTGCGGTTCCTTGGATAAGTCGAAAGCGAACCGCCATCTCCCTTCCGATAATAAACGGACATTGCTGGGCTGTCTTTGTTAATTTCTCTGTTACCGTTGGCGCTTTCATTGCATTTTGCTCACTCAACACGTACCATACATGCTTTCTGCAACTTTCGTCTGCTTCCAGCATGTTTTCTTCTTCTCTCCCAACCACGCATTGTTCTTATTGCGCTCGCGGATTTCTGTTTTTCATTCTCGCATTAACGAAACATTGTTAATCTCCGTCTCTTCTCAGGAGAGACACAACGTCAGGGCCACTCTTTTCGCAAAAGTCTTCTTTTTTATCAGCATTCGGACACGCTTGGTGTGTATATCGGCTGGATTGTGCATGCATGTCTTGGTATGAAGCACGAACAATTATGTATCAGATACTTTTGTGTCGATTGATTGTATTCAAACATGACTGGTAGAGAATAATGACAATCATCAGTTATATGCATAAGTTCCTTGCAAGTAATTCGTTGACTATTTTTTAACTCGGTGTATTTCAAGTCATTTAACATCGACCAATTGTTCTGGCATCAAGGCCACGATAAACAGAAACCTGAGAGAACAAGTGAAAAGGTAACATATCATAGCAAAACCAAAACCAAACACCCCCCCCCCTTCATCACCAGCGACGCCATTCGCAAAGATGATCCTCCCCCACCCCTTTCTCCTCTCCAACCACATACACCCCCAACTTGCAAACAGAACACTCCCACGCCCAGCGCAGCCCAATCCACAGAAACATGCAGCCAGCCTCTGCCCTCCCCGTTCCCCTAACATCACGCACCCCTCAAACGCCGCAGTCACTCAACGGGCGTACAGAGAAACAAAATAAATGGGCCCTTGCTCTCACTGCGCTACATACCTGCCCTCTCCGGACAGACCCCATGCCACATAACCTGCTGACCTACCACCGCGCCTGTGCCACAATGACACAACAGTAGCAGCAGCAGCAGCCCCACGCCCGTTGAGCGGCCCTAAAAAACAGTTTTTTGGTGCAACGTGGGGGAGGATTGGCGTGCGGGGGCCAAACAAGCATGTACGTACATATGTACGTATGTGTGTAGGAGGCAGGGGGTTTAAGATGATCATGGGGGATTGGATGGGGAGGATGTGCTTGTGATACGTAGGGGATGCTGCGGCAGGGTCTCGATGCGGTCGGTGGCCCCGCTGTCTCTGAGTGTTTCTTCCTTTTCTTGACGGGATGCTAGGGCGTTGTGTTTGTGTTTTGGGGATAGGGGCGAGTGGATGGGGCGATGATAGGCGGAGTGGTGCTGTGACGTGGTGTGTTGTTTGTGGTGGCGACTGGAAAAGGGAAATTGGTGGATGTCGATACGAGATTTGGGGGTTAGGGCCCAGAGATGGGGTTGAGAGGCTCAAACATTTGGTATCACGATGAGTGGAGGGGGTTCGAGCCGAGTAAGGCAATTATTTGCGAGGGGATAAATTGGGCTGTGAATGTGCTGTTTTGGTGCGTGATATTGACAATGAAGACAACTTGTGCATCTGTCATCGTGCTTCTAGAATGAGAGAATTCTTCCCGGATATATTTACAATGTCATCTATTCGAAAGATATTCGAATCGTGAAGAATGAGTTTGTGATTGCTAGTACTGGAAGTGTATTCGAATGTTTTATTTTGAAGGATTTCATGTGGTCCTGAAAATGATCAAACAAGTTGAACACGAAAACATGCGAACGATAAATCCATCGCTAAGCACTGTATGTTCAAAGATTCTGATTGAGTAGTCTTATTTCCATAAAAGCAATGAGACTCTTGGTCTTCCAAAATGACCCTACCTCTCATCTCGTAGCCGGTAGCCTCATTCTTCTCCTTTGCGCTTTTGCCTTCTTTTTCCTCTTCTTCTTTACAGCAGCTCTGATTGAGGCAGTACCACCTCCACTAATGAGACCTGACTGCGACAGTCCCATATCTTGAGCAGCTTTAATCCCGATTTCTCAACAATAGTACGGAATTCACGAGGCGTGCGCTCAATACCATTTATGACTGCCATCAGCGCGAGATCGCGTTGATGCGAGTAACGCGTGTAATATCCCTATCAAGTCAGTATTATACACACTTACTTAGGCCATCGACTTACCCAGTTAGCAGGCAAAGGAGAGGGTGCAGCAGTGAGCTCTTCCGAACCCAGCGTCGTGTTCATGACCTGATCACAGATCAGAATCCGTGAACGCGGACCCATGCTAGGCTTGATAGCTTTCAGGATGCGGACGCAGTATTCGTCCGACCAATCGTGCATGATATATCTAAGCCAGTATACTTCGGCTTCTTTTACCGGGTTTGGCTCGAAAAAGTCGTGTGGACAGAACTGTACCCTGTGTTGTGCAATAGCTTCCGGATTTTCCTTAGGCCAAACTACTGTCTCTGCCTGCTCCAGCGCTGGTACGCGGTCTTGTATGACGAATTGCAACTGCGGGTAGACCTGTGAAAGCTGGAGACAGAATCCGCCCACGCCTCCTCCCACATCGACCACACGAGCGGAGCCCAGTGACTCCCATGGATAGTCTAGCCATGTCGTTAGTTGCTGCAAATTCTCGCCATGATGGGACACGCACCATAGAGATGAGCCTTCCCAAGGACTCTCCCTCCTCCAACCATTGCGAGACCAAAGATGGGCAGTTCCGGTCGGCCTACCAGATCAGAGCCAGCCTTACCTTCCACTGCCTTGTCTAACTCGGAGCCAAAAGGACCAGGATATCCACTTTGTGCTCCGTCGGTCCCGCAACGGCCGTCCAGCAAATCTTGCACGGTAATCTTTTCTTCGAACCACTCCCATCTTGGTTTGTGGGTGCCTAAAGCTTTTTGGAAGGCGGTCTCTGCGACATCGTATGAAGGGCCCATTTTCTTATCAAATAGGGATCTAGGTAAATGATCGGAAGCAGAGTACAGGTCGAAGGCGCTACAAACGGACATTCAGTATTTTGTCTTCTTATGAGAGCCCAAATAGACATACAACATCACAATATATGCCCTGAGCGGCTCGTTGTTCACCAAAGCTGCTGACACTTCGTTATTTGCAAACCGGTCGGGTTGGACTTCCTTGAAGATGTGTATCGAGCAAAGACAACGCATAACTCGAGCTGCCATTATGTTAAAGTCAACAAACACAGCCGAGACCTTTCGCATATACCGGCTATACTAACATAGTTTTAGAGCGTCGCAACCTGCTTGCTCTGCCAGCTCCTTGACTGCAATGCCGTTCTCATCACAGCCAGCAAGCATGTCTGGGATCCGCTTCTCAGCCGCTATGTGTAAAGCTCGTGCCTCGAAATACTGCATCGATACTTCTAGAAGACGCATGCTCGGCGTGCTCACGAGCTCAGTGATCATACCAACTGCAGCGAGAATTGTTCTTTGGGCATCGAACAGCGCTCTCGGAGGAAGAGAGTCCTTGTAATTTCCGCTTGATTCTCCCAGCGTAGCTAACGCAGAATGCAGCAGCGCCTCGAGCTGCATGAGCTTGGTCGTGGTTGAACTGGGTTCCATTGTTCCAGGTGGTATTTGCTTGTGAATGAAGAGATATCGGATTCTGTGTCTCCCGGCCGGGTGCGGGGTTGTATTTCAATAAAGCCAAATGCATTCGTTCTGCATATCCCTCCTTAGTGGTTCCTCTCTATGGATCTGAACATGTAAATAGCATAGTACGAATCGGGTAATTTTCCTGTTGAGATGTAGCGCCCTTGTAATGGCTGCAGTGGCCTGTACGAGTTCGCTTACTGTTATCGCTTGGCTAAAATTAATGATGTCATATCCTTGCATCGGCTGTGATATTTCCCTTGATCTTCAGAGAGTTGGTAGTGCTTAACTTCGTTACCTGGCGTTCTCCGCCAGCCGTAGTGTTGAGGCCCTTGCATACTCAGTATCTCCCCAGCTTAGCCGCAAAATTAAGTGAGTAGGCAGATGGATTGTAGGGGGTAGTTTGAATAGGGCGATCGTGAGATCCTCTTCCTGTTCCATATGACAGAGCGGTTTTAGAGAGTCTGACCAGATTGGGTAATGGAAGGTCGAAAACGATGGTGACTGATCTAGCCCCACTGATTCAGAAGATATAGTGACCAGCGGTAGCCACAAGATTATGGATATCAACGCTAAGTGCTGGTCTTGAAGGGTTAACATCTACAAGTGATAGTAATACTATTGAGTTCCTTCGGGTATGGAGAATTGTGAGGTGCCTCTGCGCACTGACAAAGCAGATGGGTTCATGCAAATGCTCGATGAGATACTGCCTAGAGAATGTGGACTTGTCAAATCAATAGATTAACAGTATGTTCCTTTAACTGCGCGTGTGAGGCTTTTGAACCCAGACCATAGCAGCAAGTGTGTCTGAGTTGTAATGGGGCGTCTGCGACAATCATTTCGAGCAAAGTTGTTAGACTGCATTAACAGTCACCAGCAGTCATTTACGTACCCGGATTCTCTAGTTCAAACTTCTGCCATATCCCGATGACATGATGTGACCCGGTGGCTGTCATACACGGCCCGTTCACAAGGTTAGTACTACTAGTGTCCGGTCCGTCTGCACCCGATTACTATCGGCCCGTCCATACTCAATTGATCTCCCGACCAGTTGTTGGCAGAAATTCATAAAGAGAGTTTATGTAATTTCACACATTTGAGTAATTGCCCGTCTAGAAAGCTTTTTTAAATCCACAAACACATTCCTGGCTCGAGGGGGTGCGGCAAGGCTCGTCGTAATCAGCCAAGCCTGGTCCTAGCCTCGCTTTAACGCTTACGAGTAATTTGCCAACCATCAGCAAGCCTAACCACATTTGAGTGCCGATATGCTTACATAGGCCCTTTTGCCGTAGTTCTTATGCCATTTTGTACCCCTTGGCTCATCACCCGATTAAGATGGCTGCTTTGCAAATGTACATACCGAAAGCTCTGTCAACGAGTAATAGTCTTTTCGCACAATGGCAATGCCAGATGAGATGTGCTGTGTCTTCAAGCACTACCTTGTGCCTCGATAAACCACAATAGATAAGTATGAAATCTTTCGCTAGCCTACTATTACATGGTTGTAGACTACGCAAAGTTTGCTGCTACTGCCCAAGAATAAGTAAGTATGGATCCGCATAATCCCAGTACGAAAAGAACAGTAGGCGTATGTCACCCACTGGTTCAAGCTTCCTGACAGCCACAACCTTTCTCCGGAGTCTTATGGGGGGGGGAAGCAGCAAGTGGGGAACCAAGCGATGCCGATTATCGCACACTTTGCATGTACTGTGGAAGATGAACCACGTTGTGGGGCCGTTAGCTCCCGCTCTGAGATATCAGATATGCACTATACTATACGTTGGTGAGCAGATTAGTCTTTCAGTCGGCAACGAACCGAATATCCTAAATGCTCATCATTCACAGGATCTGAGCTTTGAATCTCATCACACTAATCAAAAATTTGTTTATTCTTATTGGTGGATTGGGGTTGAAGAAGTTTTCTGGATGAAAGTCACCGAGCAATATGCAAGGTACATAGTCTTACATCAGTCAGCTTTCCTCACATTGAGCCGACTTCATAGCGGTTGGCTATACGTGTGCTGTGTGTTCGGCCAAAAGGTACACGCATTTGTTGTCTTATTCAAGAGATGGACTCGAATTTGAGGCAGCGTGGGCCACGCTATACACCATTAATACATCGCCAACTAGAAACGATCGAGATAATATCCAAGTTTAAATTCTTAGGGTCCGAGCGGCATCTAGGACCTGCAGGTCGTCAGCACTGTGTCAAGGCATCCTACGCAAAAACCGGCGTCATAGCATTGTAATCAGAATGATCAGCGCACGTTTCGGGTGTTCATTTCGGGCTTATTACACCACCCCACAACACAACGCATTTGGTAGGTGAGCCTCAGGGATATGTTCTGTCATATATAACTTGCTCGCACTGCCGAGCAGAGTAAAGGGCAGGATACACACGTCCAGATCCGAACAGTCCTTCGTTTTATCTGCTTAATACTCAATTGAGACCTCACACTCATTAACCACGCATAACAAAAATGTTGTCACTCATTGTCTCCTCCCTAATTGCCCTGGCGCAGGCTGCTCCCCACCAACCGCAACACGCTGCTGCTCTTCCTGCCAATCTGGTGCGAGACTTGGCTACCGCTGTCGCCTTCCGTAAGACGGTTACTGGCCCCCCGGAGGTCCTCGCAAACTGGACCGGCTCCGATATCTGCCAATGGTATGGATTTTTCTGCGCCCCAAATCCCGACACTGGTGTCCTCAGCCTCGGTTCCGTCGACTTCAACAACTTCCACTTGACCGGCAACCTCAAGCTGAACCACTTTGTCGAGAATCTGCCGGATCTTGCCCTTATCCATATCGTCAACAACAGCTTCAGCGGCCCCATCCCCAACCTCAAGAACAGCAAGTACCTATACGAGGTCGACGTCAGCGACAACAAATTCTCCGGTGGCTTCCCTAGGAACGTACTAAGCAACAACGGTCTCGTTTACCTCGACATCGGCAACAACCAGTTCACCGGCCCCCTCCCCACAGACCTCATGTCTTCCCTCCCCCAACTCGAGGTCCTCTTTGTCCGCGTGAACCGCTTCAGTGGCTCCATCCCCGACATGTTTGCCAACTCCCAGAACCTCCAAGCCGCCAGCTTCCTCGAGAACCAGTTCACCGGCCCCATCCCCGCCAGTCTGACAAAAGCCATGTCGCTCCAGGAACTCAGCTTCGCCACCAACAACCTCACCGGCACCATCCCCAAGGGCTTCGGCCTCCTGCCTAACCTCACCGCCGTTGATTTCTCGTGGAACCAGCTTACCGGTACCGTCCCCGAGGACCTTTGCGCTAGCAAGTCGATCCAATACATCTCGGTCTCTGGCAACAAGATCGATCCCCGCCTTGGTCCTGAGTGCACAAAGGCAAAGGCGAAGGGCATTTTGATCAACTAGGTTAAATATTGAGAACACAGGAGGTTAGAAGTGCACGGCAATCTGATTAGACAAACGATAGACAGTGCCAGGGCGCGTAGTACTGTCTGAATCCTTTCAGTTCAAACTATGGTACCTAGTGTAGTAATACACCAGGTGCATTTACTTAATTAGAGTAAACACTACTATTACGTTTGTACACGACTAAATGTAATGTCTTGTTCGTCCGTTCTTATCAACCCATGCAACGATATTAGGAGTGTTGTCGAGCTGGTACTTGATTTGCGTGATGGATACCAAGCATCTCCTTGCTCTAAGTTAATAGTGCGAACAGCCCAAAGTTGGTCATCGGTTATAGCAGTAAAGACAGTTTTCCACATTCCCCCGGTATAACAATCCTATATACCTTTACTAAATCAATCAAGCGAGTGGGTAAACAGCAATACCATATGTATATCCAAACCCCTTACCTCTCCATCCCTATTCACACCATCAACAAACCCCTACTCTTACATTCCCCAAGAAACAGAATAAGAATCACAAAACACCATATAACCCTGGATATCACTAAAAAAAAACCCCCTCCGAGCGCGAGCCCGAGTTCCGCATCTAACCAAACCCATCCCTAGACCAGTAGAAAAGGAAAAAGTAGAAAAAGAAAAGAAAAAAGGTAATCCTACGCATCCCGATGAAACAATCCCCTAAGCCCAACACTCCACCTCCGCTCCCCCTTCTCCTTCGCCTTGGCACCAAGTTCATCCCCCACACTAAGTACTCTGCGCCCTTCCCGTCTCTTGTCCTCCTCCTCAGCCGCACCTCTCCCAAAATGCATACTCTTTCGAGTCAAAAGGCCCAAGCCATGTGACATCCTCTTCTTCTCCTTCTCCGGCTTGCTCTCTAGATCGTTCCGTTCTACGTCGCTCCATCCACCCGCGGTAAACGGTCTACTTCTCTTCCTCAGTAGATTCGGACTTCGCTTGCTCTTCTCGCGTTCCAGCCGATTTAGCTCTTTATCTGTACTGCGCAGCGTCTTTCTGAGGTGATGTTGCGATGTCTTCAGGCCGCGCAGTTGCAGGGCTGTTTCGCTGCGTTGGAGGCGGACTTGCTCGACTTGGTGGGCCCATAGGTCGTCGGGGTTGTGGGATAGAGTGCTAGCGCGGGTATCCGGGCGTGGGCTGGTGTTTGGGGTGCTGGTGTGGGTTGGGTGCGAGGATTTGGGGGTTGAGGGGGCGGTAGAGGTGGCGTGGTTGGCGGCGGTGGAAGGTGTGTGAGGGGAGATGGGAGAGGCGGACCATTCTTCGAGGAGTTCTAGCTGGTTTAACTTTTCTTGGAGGGTGGAGATGAGGGATTCGAATGTTTGTTTGTCGGTTTCGAGGGAGGCGAGTTGCTGTTGGAGGGCTGCGAAGGAGGTGGTGTGGGTTTCTTGGTCGTGACGGAGTTGGTCGAGTTCTGTTGTTTTTCTCGCCAGTTCGGCTTCTAGCCGGGCTGTGTTTTCGTGGTCGTCTCCTAATTGCTGATGCTCCTGTTCGTACTTCTTCTTGAGATTGTTGTACGCGGCATTCATTGATCTCATTCGCTCATCGGCCGATGACCCGAGTTCTTTAATGTATTTCTCCTTTCTTGATAGCTCCTCCTCCAGCTCATCTTTGCTCTTCTCAAGTGTATCCATTTGCTGGGTTTGGCTATCGATTTGTTGGTGTAGATCAGAGTTCTCTTTGGTAAGAGTCTCAAGCTCGCTGTCCTTCTCACAAAGTCGAGTTCTGTACCGTGACTTGGAACTCTTCGCAACCTCAAGCTTAGCTTCAGAGTCCTTTACAAACTCCAGATAGCGCTTCTCGGTATCCTCGACAGCGGAATAGGCATTGGCTATGTCTGACTCAACACTTTCAAGAAAGGCCTCCAGGTCGGCATTCGTCTGGCGCGCATTCTCCAATTCTTCTTCCGCTGAAGCAAGACGTGAGATGAGTTCTCTTTCAGAAGCCTCAAGTTTGATGTTCGTACCACGCAGTGACACAAGCTCTTTGTCGGCTTCGAGAAGCCTGTTGAATGCGTCCAAGCTCTCAGACTCTGCAATTTCGAGACGCATTTGAGCCGCGCGGAGTTCAAGTTGTAACTCATTGGCCTGACGGGACGTACTTTGCGAAGACTCCTCAAGCTTAGCATGTTCCAATCGCAGGCTGTTTGACTGTTGATCACTTTCCAACATTTGAGAAGCCAAGTTGGCACAGTTAGCTTCGAGCTCAGCTACCCGTGAATGCATGCCAGATAAATCTTCTTGAAGAGATTTTTTGTGACGTTCAGACCCCTCGAATTTAGTTTCCAACTCCGCTCTCGATTGTCGCACGGCATCTAGCTCTGTCCTAGCATTGGCAAGCTCGGTGTTGAGAGAAGTGTTTTGCGATTCAAGCTCATCAAGGCGAGAGCGAGTCGAAGAAAGGCTTTGTTCCGTACTCGCTGAGATCTCCAAGGCTTTGCTCAGCCTCGCTTCTACATCACCCTTGAGCTGCCGAAGTTTTTCTAGTTCTCTTTCGGCTTCCCTCAGTCGTGCCGTGAGTTTGGCATTTTGAATGTTTGCCTCATCCGTCTCTAAGCGAGCTGCAGTGAGGCTCTCCTCCAGCTTGCTGTTCAAACCCACGGTATCTTCGAGCTCACTTTTAATAGCTTCGTTGTTTTGCTGAGCAAGTCTAAGCTCTTCTTCCAGACGCGCATTATCGGCATGTGTTTGTTCGAGTCGCTTCTCCATAGCTGCCTTCGCGCGACACAGAGCTTCCAGCTCTTCCTCACTGGATGCCAGTCTCGTTTCGAGCTGTGAGATTTTGTAATGAGCGTCCTGCAGCTGGAATTGTGTGCTTTGCAGTTTCTCGTCAAGCTCCGAATGAAATTCTTGGAGAGAAGTAAAGCTTTGCTCGGCATTTAGTTTCGATTGTTGCAGGGCCGTGATTTGACTTTGTAGCGTGGATAGCTGTACCTGAACGTCATTCGCCTCTGATTCAGATTTCTTTAGATCATCCCGCACAGAGCGTAACTGGTCTTCTAGATCTGACTTAGAGTTGATGACTTCGTCGAGTTCTTTTTGTAGTTGATCTTTGGCCATATCCATATCATGGGCTTGCCTGCGAAGATTCCAGAGACTTGCAGCGGTCGTCTCGCTGTCTGACTGCGCAACCGACAAAGCTGTTTCAGCCTTAGCCCTCCTATCATCACTCTCCTTTAGCGCAGCCTCCAGGTCTGCTAATCGATCCTTGAGCGCACTAATTTCTGTAGTCGATGCGGCCAATCGTTCTTCAAGGAACGACTTGGATTGTTGACCTTCTATCAAGTTGCTCTCCAATTCTCCGATCTTAGCTTGCAAGCTATCACGATCGCTCTGCGTTGACTTGAGCTGCGACTGAGCTTCGCACACTTGATCCTCAAGTTCCCCTTTGACACGACGAGCCTCTTCGAGCTCGCCTTCAATACTTCTTTTGGATTCTCGTAGATGGCCAAGCTCTTCACGAAGAGATACTTCTAGTTTCTCTGATGACTCCAGAACAGATCGAAGATTGAGTATCGAGGCCTCGAGTTCCCGGAGATGTTCACTGCTCTTTTCCAGTTCCACAGCGTGTTGCTTGTCGCTTTCTTGCTTTGTATTGCGCATATGCTCCAGTTCTCTCTGGAGTGATGATGTCTGCTTTTGTGACTGTTTGAGTTTTTCCTGTAAATCCACACTCGTCGATTGCATCCTTGCAAGTTCATTGTCCTTCATGCGAACATCCTCACCGAGCTTAGCCCCGAGCTGCCGTACATTCTCAAGATCAGCTTCCAGTGCGGATTTCTCGTTTCGTAGCGTCTCAAGTTTCTTTTGGGCAACGCCATCAGCTGCCTCCAATGCTTGAACCCGCTCAAGAGCTTGCTGGAGTTTGGCTTCCGTGTCGTTGTAAGATGTGCGCAAGCTTCCCAACTTCTCCTCCAGCTCTTCCTTTGCCTTTTTTTCTTGGTCCAGAAGTTCCATGGTGGCGCGCAACTCATTTTCCATCCTAGCCTTTCCACTCTGTACGTCCTCAAGTTCACTCGCCAAGCCATCACGTGCCTCGGTCTCGATACGCGACTTCTCCTGCAACAGCTCCAACTCCTTCTTCAAGTCCACTGAAGCATTCTGAGCGTCCTTGCTCGTAGCTTCTGCATTGTGCAGTTGTTCACGCAACTGAGCAATGGCATTTCCTCCTATCTCGATCTTCCGGGCATGCTCGGCGGCTTCCGCGTCGTACGTGTTGACTTTCTGCTCAAGATTGCTAATGTCTTCCAACCCTTGGTCAACTCTCTTCTGCAAATCTTTACACTCATTCTCCTTTTCTGCGAGGCGGTCTCGAAGCGACGATTCGGTGCGCTGGGCGTTCTCGAGCTCATCGCGTGTGGAGCGTAACGTCTGCTCGAGAGTAGATGTGCGAGTCTTGAATTCTTCGACCTGGTTCGTCTGCATCTGAACATGCTCATCAAGTTCAGCCTTTTCCTTCTGTAGCAGGTCAATCGTGTGCATCATATCCGCATTCTTCTGGTCCCACGCTGCAAGTTCTTCAATCTTGTCTTGCAGTTTCTGTTTCAAGAGTTCTTCGGAATCCACGGTCATGCGCAGCTGCACCTTGGTAGCTTCCAACTCTTTGGCTAAACTGCTTCTTGAGCGCTCTAGAGTAGCGATTTGCGATTGTTGATGTCGTATCTCCTGTTCTAATCCGGCTTTGGCCACTGCCAAAAGCCTTCCATCTTCCTTGCTCTCTGCACACTCGCTTTGGAGTTGTTCTATACGCCTCCGGCATGCAGCAAGAGCTTGGTCTGATTCACGCTTGGCTCGTATCAAGCGACTGTCAGACGTGCGAATCTCGAATGCACTTCCGAGGCGAGGAGTGAGCGGAAAGTCGACATCATGCCATGGAGCCGTGGACGATCGTGTTGGAGTCTTGGGAGAGCCGAACGGGCTACCAGGAGCACTTGAACGTGTTGGTGGAGATGGAGGCGGGGAAAGGAAACTGTTCCCATGATTATGT